GGGGGGGGGGGGAGAGAGGAGAGAAAAATACTAACGTGGGCAGGCATATATAGGTATGTGCTGATTTAAAATCATTCAAAGCGGATTTGGAAAACAAACTGTAATGGATATTGCTATCTGAAAAGAAATAATTATTTTTCTGATTTTTTAAATTTTATTAGATTAATATTTTCTCTATTTGCCACACAAGAGAGACATACCAGTAATGCTCATAATCAGCCAGAGACAAAAAATTTTGAAAATTACATTTTCTAAAGCAGCAACCACAATACATCAAATAGATACATCAAAATTTTTTAATCTAACTTTTTGACATAGTTATTCCAAGAAAGAAAAAGGAATTACTAAAATGAAACATAATGTCAATTTTTACTATAATCTGCTGTCTAATCCTAGAGATTAGAGATATAAAATTTCCTACCTGCAAGTACGGACTTCCGTCTAGGCAAAGTATGGGACCAACCTCAAGAGCCTCTCAGTTTAGGTAGTTTTTTTTCTTTTTATTAAAGGTAGGGGCCTCAATTACTCAGGGATGTTTATACTAAAAAGCAGGGGCCTCAATTACTCAGAGTCTTTTTTACTAAAAAATAGGGGTTCAATTTCTCAGGGGCCTTTTTACTAAAAGGAGGTGCCTCAATATTTTGATTGCATAGGGGCCCTTGAATTACAAGTGTGGTTCTACCTATCTCAAAAATAAAAACCATCTACACCAAGGTTGACTACAAAGACTATGTTTACATATCTAGATAGGGACATTTTTCATAAAATATTTCAAAACTACAACCATTTGGTCTTGCTGTGTTTGCACATATTTGCAATTAAACTACTAACGAGAAACAAGGAAAATACTTCTGATTGAATTCTTCTGAATAGATTGTGACCATTCCCTCCAATTGAATGTCAATAACTGTTCCTGCACCAGACCAATTATTTCCCAGGCATTTTTATGAATTTGACGTAACACAAGATAAATGACCTGAGTAAGCCTAACATTCATTATTTGCCAATGGGGTTTTAGAGGTAAAAACTCATTATATTGGCTGAAAATTAGTCTTATTAGAAAATAGTTTTATATTTCCTCTAACATCCTGTTAAATCATTCCTTTTAAAAATAATTCTCTACAGTTCATTTGTCATGTTATTTTTACAATCTTTGAAGTTTTAAAACAATCTTTTATATTAATCATTTAGTAATAATGTTCAAATTGATATTTTTTACTCATACATAAATTATACATTACTTTTAAAACAACATTATCCATCATGTACAGCCCTGTGGAGAATTAAACTGCCAGCTAGAAGATGTAGTCAGTGCACACGAAAAACATTAAATTTGCAAAATTACAAGAAATCATTTCCTAGAACTTTCCTTGATTTTTGATTATTTAAAAGTTCAGATCCAGGTACCAACGTAATGACAACGACTTTACACAATCGACATGGTCAGTTACGTAAAAATTAATTTAACCACAAGTCATTGATCCCATCCCAAATTGAATGTTTAGATCCCTCTGTGCGTATTTGACAGACACGTTTCTACTGGTACACCGCGGTATATCGCAAATAAGCCGTGGGAGTGTAGCGAGAAAAAAGTTTAAGGCGGATTCCCACCGTTTTAAGTTAATAAAAGTAAAAATACTATAATTGCCATGTTATATTCATTATAATATGTAATTGATTTTTGTACTTGTTTGTAATAGATTTAGATTTATTCAGTAAAAAATCTGTAAAAACTGTATGTGACGTTGGGGGAAAAGATTATCTGTGCACGTTTTCATGAGTTCCAGAATCCCTTCCCGTCATTTTAACTATAAATAGTTGTAATATGAGTAAAAGTTTAACATAAATAAATATAATTAAATTTTAGAAATCGCAAGATTAGCAATATTTGAAAAATAGTCATTTTGTTTCTGAGTTATAGAAAACTTTTCTTAATAGCTTTCTCCCGTAATACATTGTGACACAGACTCCGAAAACTGTTCATAATAGACATTTTAAATTGAATAGCGTGTAAGATTGTATGGAAGAGAGGTAAGATTTGAATAATCATGTTCATCCTGGGCGAGTGACAGTTGGGTGGTTGTCGCCACGTGCGGGGCGCATGCGCGAAACAGGAACCGGATGCCTCAAGTGCCGCGCCGCCATCCTCCGACCCGACACGCACAAGCGCTCTTCTTTCCGGGGCTTGCATGGTGTATTAGAAGAATTATTATAAAAACTGTAAGCGACAAGGGTAGGTTTCGTACTTGTTATTAATTGAAATAATACGACTTAAAGAAATATTCTCATACAAGTAGCAATCGCATTCATCCCAGTTAATTCCTTGGGGGGTGTATTTAAATCTTTGCTTCTTGTATGGATCCCGGAAAAAATAATTATATCCTTTTTTCAGCAAATAGCACGTAGTGTGCTTTTGGTACTTAACACCTTCCATAAATCCAGTCTTCATTGATTTTATTGAAGTGTTAGTTTCACATAGTATGTGATTTACCATTCGTTGGCGAGCTCTTGAGCGAAACATTACTGCGAGTTCAGTTGAATTCGCGGTCAGTGAAGGAGAGGTTGTGTCAATGTTGGAGTGTAGTTGCCCCGAAATGGGGCACCTAATCGTTAGTTCTATAAAACTACTTAATTCACCAATGTAGTGAGTCTAGTGAAACGTTATTAAGTAATCAGTGTTCAAGCGGCAGTTTAATGCAAAACAGGGGTTTCAGCATCATTTTGTGCAAAATCTAGCAAATCTAATCCAACTCCCGCAACTAGTGTGGGCAACTTCCAGCAGAGATTCTACACGCAGCATAGCAACAACCTGTTCAAGAAGAAATGAGTACCCAACAGTCCAAAATGGTCCACGAAGGCGTGTGGGTTCCTCGGAAAGTGAAGACGCAATTCCGGACACATCGGAACCGAACAGGTACAAGCTTGCCCGGCAAGGGGACGAGTATTGCGTAGAATGAAGTTCAAATACTGGTAATCAAACTATTAAACCATTGAACGAGAGTAAACGAAAAAATATCGATTTTGAAACTTTTGATTATGTGTATAATGTTCCAACCTATGCAGTACTAGACAATGTAGTGAGTGAAGATAATGCAGTAAATTGAGACGCAAATAAGCAGCCGAAAAAAACGAAACTTTCTCCAATAATAATGCACAATGCAGAAAACGTTCCTTTAATTTTACAAGATATCAAAGAAACAGCCCAAGGTGACTTCAATACTCGATTAGAAAATAATAAAGTGAAAATAAATCTAACGGAAATTGAAGATTACAGAAACTTAAAAAAAATTGTAGAAACAAAAAAGATACCATTCCATTCCTTCAGAAACCCTCTTACAAAAACATTTTCAGAGTTCATGAAAGACATTCCCTACTCATATTCGACGCAAGAAATGTATAATGGTACAACTGAACTAAATTAAAATGTTGTAAACGTGTCTGTTATATAATACTGATAAAATGTCTATCAAGATGTTTGCAATGGAACTAAAGAACGAAACAAATTCTAGAAACATTTTACATGAACGATTTGATTATTGTATTGTAAGGTTCCAGGCTCAAGTAAACAGCAAAGCTATTCAATATAAAAAGTGGCGGATAGGGCACACGGAGACTTACTGTTATTTAGAACCTAGACGTGTTAAGTGGCCGGGTTAGCACCATTATTCACAGATCAAAATCGGTAAAAGTTCCCCCGTGTTTGTTATCTCCAAGGTAACCACACTGCCAACTACCGGGGCTGCCGAGTATTCCACGAAGCAGCCAAACGCGGTAATATACGTTCTCAGTGAGGGTCAAACCAATACCAAACCCGTAGGCAACAGGAGCCGGACCTGAATCATTTAATGCTAGAAAAGATATAGGAGACGAAGCAAGACCACTAAACAGGTCACAATTCCCTCATCTACCACGAAGATCACGCATATCAAATTTCTTAGAAGCTGTTACTTCAAATGCAAGCATAACTAAAAACCAAATTACAGAAATAGTAACACAAGGAATCGTAGCTATTATACTTCACATACAAAATAAATGCAAACAAATATTCCAAGATTTGCATAATGCCAGCAATGAAAAAAAATATCATAATTTTAAACTGGAATGCAGACAGGCTGGAAAGGCAAGAAAATGAGTTGAGATTTTTCCTTTCAAATTGGGAAATAGGCATTGCACGCATCACCGAAAGCCATCTCCATAGTAATTTAAAATTTAACGTCTCAGAGTACGAAACATAAGGAAGGATAAACCTAAGGAGCAACAGAAAAGGCTTCTGAGGGAGGAGGGATTAATAATAATAAAAAAGCATTCAACATCATGAACTAATTATACCATACTCTGTTAAGTTAGAAACGGTCGGTATACAAGTCAGCTCAGCTCATGGAGACATAATAATATCGGTCTATAAAACACCAAATAAAACTTTCCCAGAAAAGACGTTAAAAAAGCATTCTAAACAATAATTCACCAACGCTAATTGCGAGAGATCTAAAGTGTAAAAATATTGTACGAGGCTGTAACTCATTAATTTCTTACAAAATATTAACGCTGATATACATGCACCATCAGAACCTTCTCTTTATCATTATGACCAGAATACTATTCCATACAGCCTAGACGTAATATCTAAAAACGTTCATATCCCATTACATCAATACGTAACAGATATTGATTCAGACCATTGTCCTGAAATATCAAGCTTAAAAACCCAAATTACAATCTCGGATTCATTATCTAAATTGGTAAACGGTAAAATAAACGGGAAAAATTATATTTACATTAAACACTTTGTATACTTATCCCGATCATCTAAAAACAACCTAAACTATTAATAAAGAAATAAATAAACTAAGAAAGCAATTCGGTTAGCAACAACATTGGCCAACAAGCCGAAAAGAAATGACAATAAGAAATAGGCTAAAATTCCCGTTTATTAATCAATTTAATTAAAGAAAAAAGAATACTAAGCCGGAAATGGCAGAAAACGTGAGACCTACATATAACAGACAAACTAAATCAAACTCAAAGAAAAAAAAAAGTACATGAACATAGATTTAATGGGTTCCAAAATTTAATTTCTCGAATACCGAAAGGATCTAGACATCTATGGAGCAAAATTTAAAAAAGTAACTAAAAAGGTAATAAACTACCCCTCTTAAAAACAGCAAATAATATAACAACCCTAACTCACAAACAAACAGTGTTGGCTTTAGCTACTAATTTCGAAACGACAATGCAGGTTTTTCGGCTCCAAAAATTCAATGTATCGTGCAAACCTAAATGACAGCTTCAGTCTAGAGAAAAAATAGAAAATCACTGCCAGTAGACAATTCATGTGATTAGAAGTGAAAATAATTTAAACGTGTATTGGAAACCAAGACTAGAAAGAGAACATCAATTTTAAGAAAAAAAAAACAATTAAAAGAAATGTCTAAAAAGGCATTTACGCCATAAAATACCCAACAAATCCAAAATAAAAGTTCGTTAGAATGTTTAATTATCCATAACTCCTATACATGTATCAGTGGCCTTTAAATATTTTCGTTAGAATAAAATAGGCATTTTCCTGAATGTCTAATAATGACTAATGAGGTAATTCACATTATAGCAGCTTTATTTTCTATCTTCTAACAGTTTTAAGTAACCCTGTTTATATTATAATGCAGACAAACTTCTTCCGTTTAAAGAAACATAAACACAAAACTACTTTGAAAGAAACGAAACTAAATAGTTGGTGCATTTTCTCTGAATGGTCAAAAATCTTCCCACCGATCATTGCTCTCACATCTCCGCAATCTGCGCGCAGGAAAGAAGGCATTGGCAGTACCCGGAAGTGGCTGTTGTCGCAGGGGCTGCAGCGGGAGGCGGAGCGCGCGCGCGGGGGCGGGGGCGAGACGGGCGACAGGAGCGGGTCGTTCTGGTTCTTCTCGTCGGAGTCCGTGCGCTCGAACAGCGGACGGCCGCCCCAGGCCAGCCTGAAGTTGCGGTTGCACGCCAAGTTGAGGGTGAGCTGCGACGTGTGGGTGGTGCGTTGCGTGGACGCCGGCAGCGCCGGCTGGTGCTGCTGCTGCACGGGTTGGGGCTTGGGCGCCGCCCGCCGCCTAGACCAGAAGCCCTGCATCGTCGACGGCGCACTAGTCGCCCGGCGCCGCCCGGCGCCGCCCGCGCTCCGCCCTGAGCGGCCGCGCAGTATTATCTAATCGCGAGGAAGTGGTCGCGGGGGGGGGGGCACCCTCACTTTATCGCCCCCCCCTTCGAACCTCGTATTGCATTGTACTTCCGGAAGGGGGAAAGCTCCGTCTCTTTCCGTCCAAAACAGGGCGACCGGCTGGCGTTTGTTGTCTTCTGGACGGATTTAGAGAATCCAGTTGGTGCGTCATCTCATTAGCTCGCCACGTCTTAGATTGGTGTGTTTCCAATTACAAATCGTCCCGAAGGCAAGAACTATCAAATTACGGATCGTGCACATGCAATTAATTTTCATTCTTCACAATTATACTTTGCGATTACCTACCAGCATAATATTGACGCTCTTTTTGAATTGTAAATTCTTTTAAGATGACGTTT